CCCCTGTGCCCCTCATAATTATGCACTCCTGTTTGTCCTGCATTTACAGTTTGAATGTTGGTCCTTTGGTGTCTCATGGTCTATTGCTCTAAGGGATGTATTACCATTGAGTGTGTGGGTGCAGCATCCTGGGTTGAGTGGTCTGCATGTACATCTTGTTAACTATTGGGTTGAGAGCCCACCCCTGGGGGTGAGTTTTATTCCAGGTGCCGAATGTATTTCAGGGTCATAGTATTTGGAATCTCACCAGATTTCATCTGACCAGTAATTCTGGTCATTATTGAGTGTTTGGATTTTGTTCCATGTTTTCCCTCCCACTCGATCCAGGGTCTCCAGATTTGATCCTTTCCTTAGTGGTTGGCATTGGTAGCCAGGCACCATCCAGTTCTTCTGGTCTCAAGGGCCATCGTGTCCTAGGACTGATTGCTTCTAAATGCCCTTTGTGTGTGTGTGTTCTTCTTCACTTCTGATGCTAGGAGACCATTAGCTCCATCTTAGATGGCTGCTTGAAAGCTTTTAAGACCCCAGTCGCTACTCACCAATTTAGGATGTGGAGCAAAGCTTTTATGTATTTTGTTGTGCCAATTGAGTCTGGTGTCCCCCAGTACTATGGTCCTGAGGTGGTAGATCTATTGGATCTCTCTCCCATAGTGTCGGGATGTCTGTGAGGGATTATGCTGTGTCTGCCTTCTATTGTTTCTGCAGGTATTTTGTAGAAGCTTTTGCTTGCAAGCTTTTAAGATCCCAGTTGCTACTCATGGTCTATTGCTCTAAAGGATGTATTGCCATTGAGTGTGTGGGTGCAGCATCCTGGGTTGAGTGGTGTGCATGTACATCTTGTTAACTATTGGGCTGAGAGCCCGCCCCTGAGGGTGAGTTTTATTCCAGGTGCTGAATGTATTTCAGGGCCATAGTATTGGGAGTCTCACCAGATTTCATCTGACCATTAATTCTGATCATTATTGAGGAGTGGAACACTGCTTGTGTGTAGTATGTTATGCCAACTGAGCTTGATGT